TCATGATTAAGCAAAAGCACTTTGCGTCAATCGTAAGATCAAAACTTTTTCGATCAATGTATTTCGAAAACAAAGCGACGCAGAACACCATTAACTAGCTTTGCTGAAGGCTGGCTCGTTGCTCATGTCAGCATCAGCAAGCCGCGACTTTGGCATTAATTTAGACGAAATTAACAACAGTATGTTGCCATGTCGTGCGAAATTGTAAAAGCTAGTTTAGGAAGCCAGGCTAGAAATTTTGCAAATGCTTGGGCGATACTCATCTTAGTGCATATATTGTCTTTGGTTTGTCCATGTATGTATAAGAGAAAGCTTGAACGACAACTCAAACGGGGGTTCAAGGAATCTCTTAATCAGACTCTCTCAACTATAGAGCTTTTATTCGTTTTATTTCTGAAGATGTACGAGTTCGGCTTTCGGCATTGTGGAAATAGGGGGGTGGCGATAGCTATAAAATGAAGGATACTTGTACATATGTAACATTCAAGAACCTTCATGTTAAACTTCGTGATTCTACTTTTTTAAAACTTAAGCGATTTACCAAAAAAACAAGAATTTTGTCATCGATTGATTAAAAGCGGAGCATGTTATCAATTATCGGACACAGACTCGTACCGCACGGGCACTAGGAGGACAACTGTTCCAAATTTCTCTAATATAGTTATTAAATCCAAAAGTAACGTACGGCTATATTCGGCACTCCTGAGATTTATTAAATTTGTACCCCTTTCGGTTTTGCAAATATGTGAGAATATTAAAGCTCGTAAATGCTGAGTTTGCTACAAGTATCTTGGAAAACTGAATATTTTTATATACAACAAATAATTTTCAAACCTATCCTTCCTATAGAACTATATAATATAATAGTAGAAGCATATTGTGCTTTGGTAAAAACAGCTCGATAAAAAACAATAAGAGGTTCTAATCGGGAGCTTCCGACTAGGACATACCCTAAACCATCTTACTCCAACAAAAATTCAGATCGCGCCACGACCCCGTCTGCTTTCAAATTAATTTTAGAAAAAAAGAATCCTCGTTAGGGTACGCACTTGCAACTGACTACATTACTGCCGCCGCCTTTACTTAAAAGCGACTCCAGTCCTAAATGAAAAAAAAAACCAATTAAAACAGCAGCATAGTAAACAATACAATCGCAATGGCAATGCTGTTGATATAATTCAAAGAATATGCACATATATGTCTGTGGGTACATATATACAGAAATTCTTGCGATTTGCGCTTGTTTCTTTCTTGTTTCTTTCTTTCTCAACCAAATTGAATATTTTTAAATGTTGTAAATATTTTTTTTAATTTATAGTTGTTTATAGTATTTACTAATAGAATTCATTAAAAAAGTCACATAAACAAGTAAGAGGTTCTAGTCGGGAGCTACCGACTAGGGGATACCTTGAACCCTCTTCTTCCAACATCAAATGCACATATATTCTATTTTAGAAGCTTAATGTTAAGTTTGAGGACTTTAGCTCTTTTTATTTACCAAAATTTCCCAAAAAACAGGATATCGATATCGATTTTTATCGATTTCTTGGAAACGGAGTAAATTATCGATTATCGAAAATAAACGGACATGGACATGGACGGACATGGCTAGATCGACTCGGCTATTGATGCTGATCAAGAATATATATACTTTATGGGGTCGGAGATGTTTCCTTCTGCCTGTTACATACATTTGGATTTCGCACAAATACAATATACCCTTATACCCATTTTTAATGGGTTTAGGGTATAAAAAGGAAGATATATTTTTCATATTTTATGGCCACCATTGACATTATTGACTTCGTGTAGGCGCTTTTTCATTGAATGAATAAGCTTTTTAAAACCATAATGGCTCGGTGAATGCTGCCACTCTTCAAGTATAGCAGTTTTAGTTGCTATTCATTTCTTCGGATGCCTATTGGCCACTCTTTCCTTTAACAAAGCCCCTTATACTTTGTCCTGATAAAATTTAAAATTCGGAACGTGATTATTTATAAGCCCAAATTTATTCGCGCTGCTTCTGAACTGGTTCTTTAAAATGCCTAACTATTGTTTTGCGTTCATCGTGTTTTGAACTAAATCTCCGAATCCTTGGCTTGAAATGTACCTTTAAATCATTATGGACAATTTACCAAATTTGACTGTCGGAATGATGTTTCGATTTTCTAAGGAGGTTAAGGGCTTACGCCACACTTTTGTTGGTCCATCTTTATATCATTTTCGTCTCATCGCTGAATATGACGTCATTCCCATATTCGGCAGGTTGATTGCGGTACATTGTGGCAAAGGACAATTGTTTTCCAACATTAACATCAGAGAGCATTGGTCACTTGCAAGCAGCTCTTGATTTGTACTCGTGTCATAGTATGGGCTGACGTACAGTTTCCTGGAAAACATCCAGATCCAACTCTTCCTTCAGTTCTCTTGTAAGAGTTCTCGTCGAAAGCATCGGATTTTGAACGTTTTTTTACCAATGCGCGCTCTGCTCGTTTCTTTATTTTTTGATTGCGACCGGCTCCTTTATTGTGCTTCAAATACCCTGAACCAAAGATAATATAAACACTAAGATGAGTAACGCCATACAAAAAATGCTACTATGCAACTTGATTTTTTGAAAATTGAGAACGAAAACGAAATCTGTAGCATTGCGCTCTCACAGCCGAGAGAACGAAAAAGCTAAAAATAGAATTTGCTCTCAGCTTCGGCTCTATGAGGGCCGAAGCTTATGTTTGTATGCGTGTGAATATACATACATAACATTATATTTGAATGTGTTGTTATCCACTGCTCTGGCAAAGTCTCTGACTGGCAAAGGAACAATTTTCTTTTCGTTTTCTTTTCTTAACCTCAGTACAAAATATGCATTCATATATCAACACAAATTTGGGATAGGTCATGATCTGCGCTAGAAAACTAACAAACTTAATTTTTTGCCACCTAAAGCCAGAGCAGTGAATAACAACACATACATACATACTTTAAAGTTCTTATGCATGTATAATTCACGCATACAACCAAAAGTGCACGCACGCTATTGGCTGAGACAAGAACTTTTCTCGACCATACACTGTCCAAAAAGAAAAGTGAAATCAATCTATGTGTGCTATTTTCTTAACATAGTTATTGCGCAAGAAGCGCCTTGTGTAAAAATTATATAAGTTCTTAAATTTTCCTATGAAATTAATCGTTAATATCTGCGGTAATATATCATTTAAATAAAGCATGCATTTCATGGATAAAGCACAAGCACTTTGCGTCGGTCGTAAGTTCTAAACTTTTTCGCTCAATTAACTTTGAAAACGAAGCGACGCCAAGCAGCATCGACCAGCTTTGCTCAAGGCAGGCGACTTACTTCGTAGCTCGTGTCAGCATCAGCAAGCCGCGACTTCGGCATTCGTTCGTCTGGTCTTTGAAGAACGAACAACCAGTCGGCAGGCATGCCGTACAAAGCCTCAAAGGCCAGATGAAAGGCCAGGCAAGAAATTTTGCGTCGCATTCAATGTATGGGCGTTACTCATCTTAGTGTTTATATTGTCTTTGCCTGAACCCTCTTATTCCAACACCAAATACAAAACGCGCTACGCGCTCGTTTGTAGTAAAGATAAAAAAATAAAGGTTCTCCTGGCAGGGTTCGAACTCGCAACTAACTGCACTGCTTGCCACCGCCTCTACTCAACAGCCACATCAATAATTGAGTCTTTGTGAGCAAAAAAACCAATTAAAACAGTATCACAGAAAACAATACAATCCCAATTATAATTCTGTTGATGGATACGAAGCAAACGCGCATGAATGTGTGTGTACATGCACACAGATATTCTTCGAATTTGCGCTGGTGCCGCAAACACGTGTTTCTTAACCTTCATGAAATTTTCTGCAGTATATCTTATTATATTCTCAAAGTCAATTGCATTAAAATTGTAGCTTAAATTGGTGGGCAATACAAGTTGGGTTATTAACTTGATTTACAGCTCAGCTGTGGTAGCGGGAATGTGGCGATAGGTGTCTTTGATCACTCGATATATATATCATGCTTGGAGACTCTGGCACTTATTATTTATCAAATTTGCTCAAAAAACAGGATGTCGATATTGAGTTTTATCGATTGCTTGGAAACGGAGTAAGTTATTAATTATCGGAAACCAACTCGATCTGCGCAGGCACTAGGAGGACCTACAGCTATATTTCAAGTCTCTAACTTTTATAGGTTCTGATATTCTTGCGTTCATACATACGGACAGACTGACAGACGGACATGGCTAGATCGACTCGGCTATTGGTGCTGATCAAAAATATATATAATTTATGGGGCCGGCAATGCTTCCTTCTGTCTGTTACATACATTTACATTTTGCACAAATACAATATACCCTTTATACGCATTTTTATGGGTTGAGGGTATAAAAATATATACAATATTTAAAAGTATATAATTTTGATGAGAAAGTAAAAAAATGATTTTGATTGTGAAAACCATTTCTTGACAGATGTTAAATGACAGATGACAAATTTATAATACTCAGAAGAAGGGTATACATTTGAGCACTTATAAAAGCACAAGTATTTACTTATAAGTTTAAATGGGACTCAGGCGTCAATTCTTTAGGAAGAACAGGGTGAGTTTTAATCTTGCTTCTAATTCGATTTTGAAAACAAGGGTATATACAAAGTTATGATATCATGCTTCCAAAATTCAAATTGAAATAGTTTTCAAAATTGAAAAATGTATACAAACAGAGAAACATGAATCAGGTAAGCTCCTCTTCGTTATAATGACTTTTTATATTCGTTTCCACAAATCCATAATACATAAAGGTCATACATACATAGGTAATATTGAATGTTGAAAACGACGGTGCGTACCCACGAATATTCGGAAGAAGAACTCCCTTTAACATGCCGCATATAAAATTTCTTACATTATCCATATCTTTACATATTTTTGTAGTGTTTAAACGTAAATTCTTTTTAATATATGCCAGTATTGCTCTACATACCATGATTGTGAGATGTCCTACGTCCTTTCCCCGGGTTAGTCAATGAAAAACTATTATTCTCTTTTACATTAAATGGCGGAAATTGAAATTGCATTGAGCTTTGAATACCTGTAATATTTGGATTATAGCAGAGAGTATAGTTAAGTCTTAAATGTGTTTAAACACTACCAGAGCTATCATCGTTGGCTGGAGAAGATAGGTTTTCATAGAAGGCCTCATCAACTTGTTGGCTCCATGGTATATTACGCTCCTCGACAGATTTTGCTAGTGAATGCATTGTTTTATAGTTAACAAGAATATATAAAAGATAAACATAATCTTGAAAGTGGTAGATATAGATTTTAAACAAAGGTGGAGATATTTAAAGTAAATATTAATAGTACACTAATATACATTAGCACATATATATGTGTGTGTATCTATGTGGAATTATATATTTATATATTAAATAACTAGAGAAGTGCGGATTAATGTTGCATGTACCTGCAGTTCCGGTTATGTTCTGAAAGAAGAAACATTTATTACTTTGTTTCTAGCGGATTTAAGTTGCAAATAATATATATGTACATATGTGTATTCAAATATATAAAAATGTACATGTTTGTATATAATTTAACACATTTTCTGTAAGCCTTTTAATATATAATGAAACACACATGTATATTTTATGAGCATAAATACATGTACATAAATGTCTATATGTATAAATGCTATTACCTGATCCACGCCTGACATTTGCTGCCGAATTCAGCTTTCGTTGTTAGCTGCAAATATTGAGCATTTTAATATAGATTCCTATACAAAATTTGCATATGGCTCACCAAAAAATAATAAATAAATACAACTGAGGTAAAACTTGCTGTCAAAAACGCTTTAGTAATTTATAGTATGTATTTTCCACACATAGAACTCACTCTTTACAAATGTACATGTAAATCACATACATACACGCAAAACACAAATACACACTTGAGCATAGTATTTGACGCATCAGAAGCCAGTATTTTATTTAGCGCCGTTGCAAATTGCATGAGGGTTGTCATGTTCTATAGAAAATTATGTCAACGAAAAGAAGCAAATGTATTCATTATATTTACATATATGGTTGTTTATAACCAACAAATATCAATGATATTATATAAAAACCATTTTTAAATTAAAAAAAAATAAACGTTATAGATTTATCGATAAGCGATTTCAGCTACATACACATAAACTCTTTACATGTAAATGCTTATTGTTCTATAAATAGATTTATGGTAATACATTAGTTAGTTAATCAATTCTTCTTAGTACCGCTATTGCAAAGTTTTACATTGCTCATCCGACAATTTTTCAGTTGTATCACGAACTATAAAATGCGTAGACATGTTAAGCACCAGAATAATCAGAATTATCGTATTTCGATAAGTCGCAACGAGGAAGCCCCTAGGGCGACTGAGACCATTTTAGTGTGCCCGAATAGAGAATGACTTTTGAGAGTGGCAGCCGATTAACGAATAACGTGTTTAATGAAAATATCTATAATGACCAAAATGTTTTCCATACAACCTAATTTTCGCCCGATTGTGCCTATGGCAGCAATATGATATAATGTACCGATCTTAATAGGATTTTGCATTTATATGAAGAGCATAGTAAAACTAATAAATGCCGATTTTGATCGCAATTCCTTGATAAACAAAAATTGTTTCCATAAATCAACGTAATTTTCGACCGATCGTTCATATGGCAGCTATATGATATAGTGGTCCAATCTTAATAGGATTTTGCATTTATATGAGAGGAATAGTGAAACTGATATAAGTATACTTTGGTCAAGATTTGCTGATTTCCATATATCAACTTAATTTTCGACCGATCATTCCTATGGCAGCTATATGATGTAGCGGCCCGAATTTAATAGGATTTTGCTATTATATGAGGATCATAGTAAAACTAATAAATTCCGAGTTCGGTCAAGATATCTTCATAAACAAAAATGTTTTTCATATAAGAACGTACTTTTCGACCGATTGTTCCTATGTTAGCCACATAATAGTGGTCCGATCCAGCTGGTTTTAACATATGTACTGCGTGCAACAGAAAGAGGGACTTATGCTAAGTTTCATAAAGAAAGCTGTAAAGCTGAGAGACTTGTTTGCATAGAAACCGACAAACGGACATGGATATATCGACACGGCAGTCGATACTGATCAAGAATATGTATACTTTATGGGGTCGAAGACGTCTATTTCCATGCGTTACACATTTCACGACAAAATTATAACGTGCTCAGCAAGGGTATAAAAATAAACGAAATCATTTTTCTCCAAGGGTAATACATCGTCGGATTGTAGAATAATTCTAAGAAAAGAACAAAGATAGAAAATGTTTGAACTTAGCGACTTGCTACTTGTGCACACGCACATTCTTTTGAGGGAGCAGTCATGTAATATTGTAATAGGGTTTGGACTGTTCATGTTCAAAATAGCTATGCTTGTTGCCATGGTAGGGATACCTTGCTTGGCCGGCCCAAAAGGTTATCATCAGAGAGAGTGGATTGTTTTCATAAAGTGCGGACGCGTTTTTTAGCTGAGAAAATTATATTATTATTATAGTTAGTGCACGTGCGCAGTGAACTGTGAACCGTATAGAGCATTCCTGGGGTGGCTTCTACAGCTCCACGATCCAGGCGAGGGAAGTGGAGGCGTCTCCTTAGAGTGTTTTTTGCGCCATTGTGAGTTTTACCACTCAACTTTAGAAGCCGTCTCGCGAAGATATTTGTGCAGGTGGCTGTATTCACTCTAACAGCTGTTAGTACTGTTGGCTTGCGCATTTCACAACCAACTGATCGTGCAGATCAACTATAAGCTGTCCAAGATAACTGGCAAAAAGCACAGCTTCCCCAACCGAGCCCTGAAATTGGCCATGTGCCTACAGGCCGTGCAGAATGTACAGCTCTTCAACATGTGCCTTAAGGAGAGAACTTTGCGCTCATAATGGAAATTCCAAACACTGGTCTTCTTACCGAAGCCAGGTAAGCCCCCAGACGACCGATCATCATACAGGCCGATTTGCCTCCTGGACACGGGCAAAGCGCTGAAGGAGCTAATCTGCACCAGGCATGAAGCAGTTGTCGAGAACAATGAGGAAAACGAACAATGAGCAAAATTTGGCTTTACCAAGGCAAAGTCGACAATAGACGCTTTTGAAATAGTCGTCGGCATAGCAACAAACGCCATCCAAGGATCGAGATGGAAAAGCGGCACAAAAAAGTACTGCCTCATTGTCATTCTAGATGTTAAAAACGCCTTTAACCAATCCAGGTGGGACAATATATATGATGCGCTATCAACGCATCCCGTATTACCTTCAGGAGATGATACACAGCTGTTTTAGAGGAATACAGCTGCAATACACACCGCTGGGGTGCTCCAAGGGTCAATTCTAGGGTCCCTCCTCTGGAACATCATATACGATGGCATCCTCCGACTGGAACTTCCGATCGATAGGAGTATCATCGGCTTCGCGGACGACGTGGCCCTTGTAGACGGCGGCAAGGAATTGAAGGACGTAGAGGAATCGTGCAACTTTAGTATTGACCGTGTACACCAATGGCTGGCAGCAGCTGGACTCGACTGGCTGCCCATAAAACAGAAGCAGTGTTAGTCAATACCCGGAAGTAGGTGGAAACACCGCACATAAGAGTTGGCAGCGTGGTAATAGAATCAGCGAGGGCGTTAAAGTACCTGGGCGTCATGCTAGACACAACGATGTCGTTCAGAGAGCACTTGGAGTATGTGCACAAAAAATCAGCAGAGTCTTTTCGAGCGCTATCCAGGACCAGCAGAGACGCCGTCTTTTCATGATCGTAAACAAAGCGGTAATAATGTTCTGGAGACCCTTAGTGGTCTATGGGTCAGCTGGGCATACTTGCTACAGAGCTCTTAATGGGAACAGCACAGCAAACTCGGTTCGCACCGCAGCAAGGATGCAAAGCATGGAATGAGGGCAAGCACGTTGGGATCGCTCACCTAAAGGACGTTGGACACATAGGCTTATCCCAAACTTGGACGCCTAGATAAACCGCAAATATGGAAACACTAACACTAACTTCGCCCGCCTTTATGTATGAACGCAAGGATCTCGGATTCTAATAGAGCTAGAGACCTGAAATTTTAGATGGAGGTCCTCCTAGGGCCTGCGTAGATAAAGTTTGTTTCCGATAAACGATAACCGATATCGACATCCGGTGCGTGCTTGGCCGGCCCAAAAGGTGATCATCAGTGAGAGTGGATTGTTTTAATAAAGTGCGGACGCGTTTTTTAACTGAGAAAATTTATTATTATTATAGTTAGTGCCAGGGCGCAGTGAACTGTGAACCGTATAGAGCATTCTTGGGGTGGCTTCTACAGCTCCACGATCCAGGCGAGGGAAGTGGAGGCGTGTCCTTAGAGTGATTTTTGCGCCATTGTGAGTTTTACCACTCAACTTTAGAAGCAGTCTCGCGAAGATATTTGTGCAGGTGGTAGTATTTACTCTAGCAGCTGTTAGTAGTGTGAAGCAGGCAGGGCTCACGCAACCCTAGGCAGCCCTGCCAGCCTATACCCAACTGATCATAACGGCTACACAGAGAGCTGGCCAGCAGTCAACAACGCAAGCGAACGCAGAAGCGTCCCAGAGCCGACGCCATTTCAGCCCACGGAGTGGGCGACTGCACGTATGCTGATATGCTCGTGAAACGCGACCCGGCCATCAAGCACCTAAGTGGCAATGTGCAGGGCATTGGCAAGACCGCGAAAGGCGATACTCTGCTGCGCTTGAATAGGAAGCCGGAGCAGTCCACAAATACTCTACAAGGAACTGTGGGAAAGGGTGACCGGGCAGAAGTGAGCACGTTGCCTGAGACCTACCAGGTAGAGATTAGGGACCTGAATGAGTTGGCGACTAAGGAAGAAGTGCTCGAAGCGGTTCAAAATGCCTTAAATGACGAAGTGATCAAATCGCTGCGACCAGTATTTGGTGGACAGCAATAGGCCTCCCAGCGCCAACAGCCAGGAAGCTTGGTGAGAAGGCCAAGTTAAGGATCGGATGGATGGTCTGCCGTATACGTGCAATAGACCAAGCAAAGCGGTGCTTTAAATGCTAGGGCTTCGGGCACATTGCGGTGGACTGCTCCAGCGGAGACGATCTGAAAGGAGCATGCTTCAGATGCGGGGATACGGACCAAGTAGTAAAGAGCTGCTCCAAGCCACCAAAATGTAGCCTTTGCACACGGAAAGGAGAAATATCTACGGACCACGCTACAGATAGCTATAAATGTCCGGCGTACCGCGAGGCAGTACGCAAAATAAAATGTTAAGGTTACTTCAATTAAATCTTAACCACTGCATAGCTGCGCAAGCCCACCATAGAGAGACCAACTGCCGAGATTATGTACCGCGGATCAGGACGGAAAAGCTGCGCTTTGGATGTGTGGCGAACTTTCGACGTCGTTGGAGAGCAAAAAGTCCTTTAATGGGTTTGCACGCGCACAATATGGCAGCCTGTGGATTTACAGCTGCTACCTATCCCCGAGCATGCAGCTTAGCGACTTTCAAGCTGCATTAGTAGACGACGCGAGGGGGCAGAGGGTCGTGCCCTGTCGGAGAGGTTTGAACTAAACACCTCTAGTCGGGGTGATATCGTATCAATAATAGATCTTACCTTCGCAAGCTCGTCACTTTTCGGCTCAACAAAATGGGAATTAAGTGACGTATATACCGTATTTACTCCACAATAACATGCACGCTTGGTGAAAGAACTGCAGCCAGATCGAAAGGACTAAGTCGAAAACCCTACCGCTTGGATACTTTCGATCCCGTGGACTTTTCGAACGCAGTCCAATCGCTTGCCAACGCAAAGAATAGAGCCTCCCAAACGGCTATTCAATTATAAAGTACCTGCGATGAAACCATGGAAACTCGGAAAACGTTTCGGCATCACCACGTACCCACAAAG